TGGAGTGTTGTGGGGATCGAACTAGAGCAACCGGAGGCTGACAGCTTTGTGGAAGCAGTCACTTAAAGAACTGAGCTAGGGCCAGTTCCACAATCTTGGTTACTTTGGAAAGTAATTATTGAGAAATATAACAGTATTAAAGTTTTTCTTAAGGTCCGTGGATATAGCTCAGCAGCATAAGCACCAGCCTGGAAAGTTCAAGGTTCTGAGTTCAATCCTGAGTATCACAAATAAAATGAAATAAAATTAAATTAAATTAAAAGAAATTTTAAATTTAAATTAAAATAAAATTTAAAATAAAATAAAATTTCTTAGTTTGTTGCCATCTAAATATAGAATTTTAGGATCAAATGGACAGAGTTTGACAGTAGAATTCTTGCTCTCTAGTTTAAATATGTTTTTGGAATTTTAGATACTTGAATACGTAAGGTCCAGCCTCTAAATTTTTGACACAGCTTGTTGCATCAGTCTTCAGCCAGTAACTGCATCACTAAATTTCTGATCAGATCTCATGGTGCAAACGATTGTGAAATACATATTTGTGAGGTGATAGCCTTATAAAATTCTCCTGATGGGGCTGGTGAGAAAGCTCAGAGGTCTACAGCGCCTGCTTAGGCAAGCTTAGGCAGGCGCACGGGACCGTGGTTTGATCCCTGGCACCATATGCCATGCCAGCCCCATCCTCGGGGTGGGCTGAGCTGACAGAAAAAAAAATTCTTCTGATTACATATGATTTTGCATATACCATTGAAGCCCAAACACATATACACAAATATACATATGCACATATAAAATAAATAAAATATGTGTAACTTTTATTCATCAATTATTATGACATGCTATGTACTATGAATTTACTATGTATGTGAGATATTTTTGCACACATATTACATGTTCTGTTAAGGAGAACTTTCTGTGGTGTTTCCATCTTCCACGCAATGGACTTTGGATTGACTTCCTCGAAGGTGTCACATTAACATGCACTTGTTGCTATAAACCCAAGAGATTATTTCATGTTCTTTACTACAATGATAAAGTATGCCTCTCTCTAGTGCTTATATGACCATCGGATTAGGAGAATGATGATAGTATGCTTATGACTCTATTACACTTGTTTTTTAAGAAAAGATAAATGAACAGTCTAGAATGTTATATTTTATGAATAAATTTTCTCAGTTATGGTATTAAATGCTAGTTGCTCAAATGTCCTCATCTCAATTTTCTCATTCACAGTATCTAATCTCAAAATATCTAAGAATCAAATAGCTACTTTCTCCTAATGCATTAACTATATTGAATCAAGATCTCAGAATATGTTAATACCAGTTGAGAATGGAGTTTAGCAAATACCTTCATACTTGTTACCAGACTCTATGTTTTTAGTTTAGTTTTGATTTGGTTTGATTTTTTTGTAAATATTATTCTTTGTAGAACTTTTTAAACAGCAGAATATGTATTGGGGCAAAGAATGCTTCTGTCCAGGAGGGGACAGAAGAGGATCCAAGTGGATTGTGAAGAACCTTGCTATTTCTAGGGGTTTTAAAGAGCAAAATGACAAGATGAGGCAGGTCTAAAGTGGAAACCATGGCAACTTACACATGAGGTGGGACAAAAATATGGTTCACCAATAAGATTAATTGCTCAGGTAAAATTGAATAAATCAGGATTAAATGGGGAAGGAATTGGTAGCAAGTACATAAATGCAGAATGCGATTTTCCTGTAGTAGGTTTGGTCAACGACTCTTGGCTTTTTCAAGATGACTGATACCTATTTAGAATATCAGTCTTTGATGTCCATTCCTAAAGTGGTATGTGGCTGCATTTGTTTATTCTTGTCTTGAGGTCTGGCCCACAGCAGGAGTGCCTGTCTCTTGTGCAGTTATAAGGTATCTTGTCTTCCATATTGTCTCCTTTGAGCGTGTACCTCTGTCTGACTGCCTATAATATTTCTATCTAGCTGAGATACCTACAATATTTTCCCCTTTGAAGAAGTAACCCAAACTACCATATGAAAGAATCATGGGAGATCACCACTCTGGCTTCTTCAGGCTGAACGGGGTCATAGTTGTTGACTAGCAGTCAGAAATACTATTGAAGGCCCTCAATAGACACCATGTAATCTTGGATAAGCTTATAGCTTTAAGTCTGGAGGAGACAAAGCCAAACAAACAATTAAGTATGTATGGGCCTAATCATAACATAAGGATACTTATGAATATTGTCAACAAAGACTTTGGTCAAGAAGAGCTAGTAATGGCTTTTTATACAGAGGATAGGGGTAAGGTTTAGGGATTTTTTTTGAGTCTGACTTGTTATTGATCTGTTATTTAATATCTTGAACACTTATTGAGACATTGACAGAAGGATCAGGAATGTTTATACATTTACTTTTTATAATTGTACCAGTATCCTCCTATGCTACTTTCAGAATGTCTAATGCCATCTGATTTTGGAAGGTGGCTTGTTATATTAATTTTACTTTTTATTTAAGAGAGAGAGACCAGCTGTTTTGGCACTTTAGACCCACTGAGTACAGTTAGCTAAGTCCTAGATATGTGTCATAGAATCTTCTCTCTAGAAAAAAATCTAATGGAACCTGGTAAAAAGAATCTAAAAGTAATCTAGCATGTCTGTTATTGATTTTACCTGAATGACTACCAGAGATCTGGCATCCTCTAGGGAAGAACAAATTTTCTGAGAAATTCGCGCATGTATAATCATTTGAGCTAACAGGTAAGTTTAGAAACTTTTAAATGATAGCAATTGTAAGACTCCCTCTATAAAGGGCTTTAAAAGCCAAGCTTTGTAAAATTTTAAGCAACTCTTTAGTTTCTTCTTATGCATGCATTTTGTAACTGCAGATGTGACATGAGTTTAAAAATCTAAGAAAACTACATATTTTTAAGAAGTAATAATTATCTTCCTACTCTAACTGAAATAGATCTTACTAGTTCTGAAGTAATGTGATTTCTTTAGTGGCTACTCCCATAAATTACTCAGAGCAAATTATTTTATAATTAAATAGGGTAGACTTTCTGGCTCCAATTGGCAAATGTACCAGTGCCTAATTTAATTAGCTTTAGCTGATACCAAGAAGCACACAATGCATTCAACGACTAATGTGATTACTCGTATCATTACAACATTTTATTTTTCCTTGTCAACTCTTTAGTGAACAGAAAATAATCTCCAGTTGTCCTACAATAAATGAGTAAAAATTATTAAGTCATTTGAATATGTTGGAAGCAGAATATCAGTCCTTTAGGAGAACAAATCCTTTCAATAGTAAATAAACATTTCAATAATTGAAACCATTAATTTGTCATGTAAAATTGCAATGTATCTTAGTGTCCTAAAAGTGTCCAAAATCTAATGAAAAGTGAAAATATTTAAACAATTATGAATGTTCTTTGAAGGCCAAAGTAAGTATAAGAAACTCTGAAACTTCAGATTTAATATTTTGTTTTAATTTTTGCTGTATTACTGTTTCACTACTCTAGACCTGCTCATGTAAATGTTCTGATGCATGACATAAATGAAGAAAAGTTCAAGAGCTATTTTAAGTGCTTTTAGAATGGACAAAGCCAAAAGGAAATATTCCCACATAAATAGTATACTTTTGTTGTTAGAAAATATGTGGCTCTCTTCAAGTACATGTTATGTCTCTTCAAATATGTGCTAGTTCACACTGATTTACATTTTAAATATATTCTAGTTTAGTATTGAGTTTTACATAAAGAATAGAAAAGACTACTACTAGAACAAAAAGAACAAAAATAATAATTTGTTATAATTTTTCTAATTGAAACTTAATGATTGTTTTTTATATTGTTAGACATTAAGAAAATAATTTACATGAAAGCATAGTATTTATGAAAATTTAATCAATTTTTTTTTAAAAAGTTCTATTCTTACCAAATTTGCTTTGGTATAGTTAGCAATAAAAATTATTGTTTTTAAGTTTATGTGATTTTTATGACATTATAGTTTTGAAAACATTTCATAAATGAAATAATTTCTTCTTCAGAACAGTTCTAGTGGACACCTTCTTTTTCTCTTTTTCTGACAAACGCAAAAAAAACAGATATACAGCAAATATCTTCTTTATGTATTAGCATGTAAAACTAGCTACTTATACGAAAAATATTTGTTTTATTTAATTCTGGATTAATTTGTGGAAATAAAATAGTTTATGATGAATTTTATTTAAAAGATATTAGGAAATTTAAAAAATACTACATTTAAATATTTTAAGTTATCCCCATAAATTTAGCTTCTAATTAATAGTATTCAATTTATTTAATTATCACAAAGCTGAAATATTTATCAAGGTATAAATGAATTAAAATATCACATAAAGGGCATACTCATTAGTCTATAATTACCAAAAATGCAAATAATGTGGAGAACGACATGATTAATGCATGTCTGATTAAAGCTCTCAGTACGGAATACTTAAGTTGTGACTTATTATGAAAAGCAGGGCCCTAGAATGATTTTTGACATTTGCTTAATTACTGAATCAACTAAAATAAATATTATTTTAGTAGAGGAGAGATCTATAGTATAGAGAAAGCATCTTAA